CCTGTCCTGCCGCTCAACAGGACAAAGGTTGGCTGCAGGACAGGGCAGGACAGGAGGATAAATCATTTTTCGTTCTGTCCTGCCGCTCAACAGGACAAAGGTTGGCTGCAGGACAGGACAGGACAGGACAGAAAAAGTTGTCCTGTGCTCATCTCTGTATTGAAGAGAAAAAAAAATGTAACATTTTATTTTAGCCCTTCCTTTACATGAAGAATTATTATTTCAATGGGTTGTTTCATCAGATACAACACGAGATTTTCCTTTTGGTAATAGTTAGTTGGTTTTTCTTTGAATTATTAGTAAGTTTATTTATTGTTTTTATCTTAGGATTTAAACCTATGTTAAATTTATATCAAGAAGAAAAATGTCATCGAATTGAATCTGAAAAACAAGCTGAACGGTTAGTAATAGTTAATTATCTAGTTATATTTAATTAGAATGGAAAGAATAAATAATTTTTCTTTTTCTAATCTTTAACTATTTCATTAGTAATTTTCCATGATTTTCTTCTCTCACAGGCTCTGCTCGCATGAGATAGTTATCTAATAATCAGGTGGGTTATATATAGATTTCTATTTAAAGCATGTTTCTTCTTATGCTTTTAGTTTTTTTTATAAATGAAAAAACTTTATTCTAAACTTCGTGATGATATTAAATCGATCAAATGAACAAATTAAAGAATATCAACAAATAATTTATTTATTAAATGAAAAAACCTGACAACAAATATAGATGATCTTAATAAAATTGATTATCTAGACGATGATAATCTATCTATACTTTCACACCTTGAAAATTTTCTTTACTATCTTCACATGTTTTTTCTTCTTCTTAATATTCGTTGTTATTTATGAAACTTACATTATCATATCATTGTTTTATAAGAAAAAATAATCTATGTGTGTACTTGTTGTTTGATAAAACGAGAATTTTTTGTTTTCTTATAAGGCCAATGTTTATTATAATACTAAAAATTTTGTAAAAGAACCACATCAATGGCTTGCGAATGTTTCATTCAAAAATGAGTGCAAGTCTTAAACTAAATGCACAATCAAAACTTTATATAGAGATTTAATTAGTGACAAAATATACATGTAGATGATATTCTTTCGATTTGTCCATAAACAATTTAAAAAAATCAAATTTTGAGGAGTATCTCGGGTTTGTGGTCCCGTCATGGAAGGGGGGGGGGGGGTGACGGGAAGGTCCAAAAGAAATTTTTTGAGGATTGGTAAGATGCGTATACAATTTTATAAAGTTGGGGGGACGCTCAATTTTTTTCCATTAAGATCTTTTCTTGGATAAAAAACAAAAATTTTCCAAAAGTGGAAGGGGTCGCGACTCCACATTCCGCCCATCGGCACATCCATGGGACACTCTCTTAATAATAAATGAGTGGTTGTGGCATTTAAACAAAAAAAAACTCTTTCTGAATATCTCCGATCATCGAGAGGAAAATTAGTTCTGTCAATTCTGTTCTGAAGAACTTTAATTGTTTACTTTAATTTTGATTTTTTAAACAGCAAAAGTTTATTTCATAAAATAATATGACCAGAAAAAATGTTTGTTTTTATCATTTTTGCGAGTTTGTATTACGATAGAAAAAAAAATTGTTTACAAAGATTAAAAATCTCAGTACGATTGTTTTAGACGATACTAGACAACTCATCATTTTTCATATGAACTAATCTATCGTTTCTGCTAACTAAATTGAGACCTATATTTATGATGTCAACTAGATTGTTCATAGTTCAAAATAGACTGCTTACTATAAATCTATACAATGAACTTCTTCGCTCAGTATCGTGTAATATTTTCCGCCAAAGATTTAATATCTGCTTTAAAATCTCCTTCTCAATAATATAATTATATGTTCAATACTCTTCAAAAACTACCGTAGAACAGAATGATGCAGTAATTTGTTACTTATCACGATTGAAACATATTTTAACTTTTTGATCGCGTCTCTTTTTATTTAAATGATTTATACAAGACTAATATTTACTGAGAAGAAAAATGTGAATCAACGTTTTCTGAACGAACAAATGTGTCACTTGTAATTCCAGATTTTATTTTAGCACAATTGAGATGTGTCGCATCATTGGTAAAATTATTTGTCACAGATTTTAATGTTTCGTATCTAATTTCGAGAATTGTCAAACAAGGTGAACGAGTGATTCTGTCAGAAAGAAATTGTATGACATAGTCATTGTGTGGATACATAAGATGAAGTTTGAACAAATGATCAATGTCGACGAATGATGTTGCTTATTTTCTTGTGGTTCAGAATTTCATATGATTAATTTTTGAAGAAAAGGAAAATCTTGAGAGATAATTTTGAATAATTCATGTTCAAATGGACGTCTATCAAGCATTAATAACATTCGAACTTTATCGAATTTACCACCTTGAAAATAGCTACTCATAAACAAGAATTCGGAGAATTGATATGGAAGAGAATAAACATGACAGTTGCCTATACTATTTATAAGTCTTTCATCGGCACACGTATCAATTGATTGAAATCCTCTGTTAATGAAACTATTCCGAATGTCATTAGACGATGGAAGATCAATTTCAATACAATTATTAAAAATGCGAGTGTGTATATTGAAAATAAATTTGTTTAATCGTGGCATATAGTTAAGAACTGCATTGTATAATTGATTACCATCAGTATAAGTTGATTCGAGTCATGAAACAATTCTCTTACGATAAAAATATGTATACCAGCTTGTTGTTAATGAGAAACATTTCAATTTGAGCAGTTTTTGCTAAAGAAAATGAGGCAATCAGTAAATTTCAAAGACAAATTTGTTTGTATTCAATGATCGCACTTATACTTACTGTATTATCTATCTTCGATGATAAAAGGGCAATTCTCGTGATATGAATGATCAACGTTGATAAAGATTGGAGACATCCATTTTTATTGTCAACTTAGTGAGAATTGAAGATAAGAAACTTCCATGTGGAATATTTCAAGACGAAAATGTTAGATAAGTTCTTGACAATTGTTGAGAAAAGGTCAAATCAATTAAATATCTACCGAACCATAGTATCAATATAAATATATTTGGCTCATTTCCATTAGATATTTCTTCTGTTTCCATACCAAAAAAGGCAGTTAGAAGTGTAATTTGATCACTAAGAAGACGAGATATTATACCATCTTAAATGTAAATAAAAATATCATATCAGTGGTTGATGAAGTCAAATATAATAATTGATGATCATAGCTGATAAATGTTGTAACAATATATCTGGTAGAAAATTGACCAATAATAATGAACAGCACCAAGAATACGTTCTATAGAATGAATCAACAATGAGTTTGGTTACTTTCTCATTAATTCGAGATAAAATTTTCGAACAAATTTTATCAAGAATATCAACATCTACCAATGAATAGGACATATCGGCCATATACAATTTATTGAAAATGATATGCAATATTTCATCTGGTAGATCGAGTATATTAATATCGTTGCTGTCTAATATATTAATGTCTAATGATAATTTTTCATTTCAATAATTCTCATCTTCTTTCAGTATATATATATATATAATATGTTATTTTTCTTTCTTAAATAGTGTGATGTTTAGATTAAGTTGAAATAAAACACTCAAAAAATTTGACATATATTCCCAGCGGGTTTTTTGATTCATCAAATAACAGTATTGATATACTTTGCTTAAACGTTATAGACACTGTACTAATATAAAATTATCATATATAAACTGTATTCATCTAAAGATTTGATGCATGCGGTATTGTTCCTTTTGTTTGTATGTCCTTCATAATTTATTGAGTTGATAGTAGACGAATTTGAAATGAATACATGCAATTTTCATCATCACGAAAAATATCGCCGGTATTATCGAATTTTTTGACAATAATTTGGTGCAGAAAAATGTTACTGGTTGACGTTTAACAAAAAATTTCTAACCATCTTCAATAAACTTAAAATTATGCAATACAAGAAAAATTTTATTAATTTATTTTTCGTTCAAATATAACTCTAATATCTTCGACAATTAAGATTAGGCTCATGTGATGTTAAAAACCGTGTAAAAACTTTCACATCAAATGTAAATGATACATCATGATAGATTTTTCTGCAGTCGGATGTATCAAGTACATTAGTTAGTCTTGCAATACAGATGATTTGTTCAAACAAAGAAAGAAAATTTTTTCATGTTTTATTTTTGATAACAAAAAAGATTAATGATTTTTTTTGAAGAGACATTTTTCATCAGTCAACATAATCACATAGACTCTACAAAAATCGAATATAAATAAAATCAAATGACATTTTTATTCACCAAGAAAAAGATAATTTGCTTCAAGTGGATAACTATTAACATTAAATAAAGGAAGTAAATCAGTAACATTGACTATGTGTATCAAGAAAAATTTTTGATGGAGTTTCTATTGAAAATGCTTAAAAGATAAATAGAAAAACTGATATTTAAAACTTTACCAAGTTTAAGAAAAAGAATTGGTTATACAAGTAACAAAAAATATTCATAATATTCTAGAATTGAGGTCGTGTCGATGATTCTATGTAAACTTGAGATAGTAGTTATTTTGAACAATAAATATTGATTTCAAGTTTTTTATGATGATAAAATTTGCTAAAATCAAAAATGGATTGCAATATGTATAATGCAGGGCAATACGACGTTTTAAAACTATTTTAATGATGAAAATGACGCGTTCACTTGAATAATAGTATGAAATACGCCACAATATGGACTCTCTCTCTACAAGATAATTGTTGAAATTTTGGTTGCATTCAATATTTCTAAAGCATCTTTTTCTAGCCACAACCAAAATACGAAATGGTTACTTGTCAATTATTAGACGGATTTCTTTAAATGATGAGCTGAAATAATTGACCCTTTGTTCCTTTTATTAAAAAAAAAAAAATACTCATTCTGTGACGTAAATAAATTCCGTGTATGTTAACATAAAAACCATTTACAATACGAAAGAGATCCGCAAAAAAAGTCTTCTACAAAATACTCACATTCATCGATTTTCAGCTTACTTCGTTCAAGTGTTTTACCGCATGTAGTTCTTTATCAGCATTTAGATTATTATTATCATTTTTATTTAACAAAACTGAATCATATTCAATCTTAAGAATTAGTAATTTCAAATAATTCAGTCGAAGTAGTTAATGCTGAGTTAAGATATTAGAAACAACATGTAAAAAGGAAGAATGGACCAAGATTCTATCTCTACTGATAGAGAATTTTCATGAATTATTTTCTTTTTGAAAAGAAATCAATATGTTTAATAAGATTTTTCGATCGAGTGATTTTTTGAAACAATATGCCTTTGTTTTGAACCAATCAATGTTCCATAGATATCTATTGCTAAAAACAAACAAAAAAATAACAATGCATAAATTTTTCTTTTATTCTTAATAGTTGTCTGTACAAATATCAATCAGCATTTTTTTTAATTTTTAATTGAAGAATTATTTATCTATCCTTTCGAAAAATGTTTGAACATATTCACTTAAACTATTGTTGGTACTTTTGATTAAATTAATAATAAATTTCATAATAATCATTTGACGACTGATATTTTCCATAACAGAATAATTCTAAAATTATTTTTGTTTTTTTTCGATAACTTTTAAAATAAAATAAAATCTTTTTGCTCCCTTAATATCTTCATCCATATACACCATGAAGTTAAACAATTGATTGTTTCTTCCGAAATTAATATAAGATTTTCTTTAAGAAATTCTTCTGATATCTTATCATCACAATTAACACCATTATTATTCTTATTATGACTTGATACTAGAAAACAAAAATTCATTTTGATCGCACTGAAGTACGTATTTTAGATAATTTATTGGATATTTAGATTCTAGAAACTAAAGGTTTACCTTTAAAAAAAAAGTAATAACTAATGTTTTAAAAAATATGAGAATTTATTTGTTTTATATAGATATTTTAAAGATATACTAGTAGGTTTGAGAAAATAATTTTTTTTATTGAATTTTTTTTTTAAATAAAATATAAAGGTTATTCAATACTTCGTTGTAAAAAAAATATCGAGAAATTGAACGATGTAAACAAAAACAAATAAATGGACATGATATTGATTTAATTGGATATGTTGATATTCCATTATCAATAATAACTAGATATCAATTTATTGAACAATGATATCTATTAAAAATATCATCTGGTTTAACTGTTATAGGAAAAGATAAATCACAAAGATTAACAAGATGATTTATTTAACATTAGGATGAAAGCAAGCGATTGAAATTTTACCAATTGAATCATATTTACATTTGCAAGATAATAAATAAGATAACATTTTTTTCTTTCCGTATATTCGACGAGATTATACTCGACTGATTAAAATTCTCGAACCATATATTAGTCTACGAGATAAAGATGAAATTGGTATGTTCATACAGAATCAACACTGACATATCAAATAATTATTCCATTCCCAAAAATAGAAAATTCTATTGTTCTCGTGCCACAGCTGCTTAGATATGAATGAAGAGAATCAAATTCTTTTCAAACACGGATATTATACACAAATTTTCGAATCATCTGAAAAAAATCTGTTGTTCGACCGTAACTTTTCTCATATCTTAATTGTTTATTTTACTCACATCATTAACCCATATATTGCTTTATCTCTTTCATTTTCTACATCATTTCTTGTTGATATTGTTCAAGCAGAAGTTTTATCAACATCTTCGAATACATTAACATTTCGTGGAAATTCCATCGAACCTAAATTTATGGAAACTTATACGAAATTAATTGGTGAAACATATTTATGTGAAACATTGACACGTTTTGTAACAGATATTGTTTCATTAAAAAATTCCAATGATATTAATTTAGAAGTTGATTCCGATCGGGTATCAAATTTACAAAATTTAGAATGAAATCAAATAACTTTAAGATTATTATCTGAAAAAATTTGGTTAGAAATTTAACAATCACATCCATTATTTCGTCAGTTAATTATATGACAAAAAAAAACAGTTTTTGTTTAAAACGAATTAATAGGTATGTTTTAGAAATTTTGACAATTATTATCATCTCTATGTTGAATTACTCAAAGTAAATTAACCTTAATAAAACATTACAAACATTAGTAAGTTTTTCTAAGTAAAACAAAAAATCTAATTTTCAATTTTGAAAAAATTTTAGTTCAAAAGAATCTTATATGAATTTTATGAATGATTTTCTTGAAAAAAAATCGGAAAATATACAAAGATTTTTAGCTAATATATCTGTAAGTAAAAAAAAGATTAATCCACTATATAATAAATTATTCTTCAGACAATCGATCATGATTATGATGAGCCACGATCTTCAAACCTAAATCTTCATGATAATAAATATGATATTGATTTAGATTAGTTTATTATTAAAGTTAATTTATCTGAAAATCTTTGTTTTATTTTAGGTAGAGAGAATATTCAATAGTTCATTCAACTGTTGCTGATCTATTCGAACAAATTGATTTAAATACTCATCAAACATTAAATGAATTAACAAATATAAAATTTTGTCATTCAACAATACAAAATGATACACAAATACATTTACATCATGATTCAATATCAGCATCGTCAACAATAACAACTGTTGAAAATCTTAATAAAGAAGATATTCATATACCATTCTCTTTTAAAAAGAAGAACATATACAGAGTGGTGATTCAAATGATAATGATGGAACATATTTAAAATCAAACTCAAATCGAATCATCTGAAGCTCTTTAGTTTGTTGATAGTCTTTGTATTGAATCTCTTAAAAGTTCATCTTCTTCTTCTTCTAAACAATCTCTTGTTTATTTAACTAATCGACAATCTTTACAACAACAATCATTATTTGTTTTAAATAATGGTTATATGGCAAGAAGTACACAAAACTTAACATCATCACATATAAATACATCAATCACAACAAAAAATTCCTCAACATCAACAACTTATTATTGTGTAAAAACAAATGATGAATTTAGTGGAACAACTAAAAGACAATAGACTTTATCATTTCAACAACAACTAGTACCAAAAATGGGTATTAAAGTATGGTGTGAGTTTTTATAACTTCAAAACAAAAAACGTTGCGGATGAGTTTTCCGATGCCTTTGGTTTGTAAAAACTTTATTGTTTTTGACAACGATGTTCAATGAAATATTTTCCCAATAGATACGTCGTTCTTTCCAATAAAAAGAAACTGCAGAATGCTATATCAAAAATAAAATAAATGCAGAACTTTTACCCAACCCATTTGAAGCATTAATTGACGGTCATCGAATCTAGTTCCACCGTCCGTCACTACTTTTACCGTTTTTTTCAATTCATTTTAGTTTTGAATATTATCAAACAAATCATTTATGAAATCAAAATTTTCTATGGATTTCGTGAAAATTTCTGTAAATATAATCTTCATTTGCTTAAAATTTATATCGACATGTAAGACAAATGCAGAGACATCTTTTCTTTATCTTTCATAGGGTTGATAAATATCTAAAAGATTTATCGTTTTTATTTATTAAAAATGGTAAAAGTAAAACGAATGAAATCATCTAAAAAAGATATTCATCGATAAATTCGTAGTGAATTTTCTAGATCAACAAGAAATGAAATTCGATTAGAATATTTATCCGAGTTTGATTATGTTTCGATTATAGAGTTGATATTCCAGGAATTGGAAATTCTCAAGGTTTGTAATTTTCTTTTGTTTCTCTTATATTTTATTCGAATTTTTTTCTGTCGTATGAAAGCAAAGGGAATATTTGATGATGAATATTCAGAATTCTCGACTGGATTCAAAATAAAAAATGGTCGAATGGAAAAATAATTAAGAAAGATTAATATTTAATTTTTATTTATTCTCTCTTAAAAGATCGTTATTCA